CCCAAAAGACATTATCAAAAGCCTTGGAGATGTCTAATTTGAGTAGCAGGGCCGGAGTCTTCTTAGCGTGGAGGGACTTGACACAATTTTGCACGTAGAGGAAGCTGTCATGTATGCATTTTGTTCGGAGGAAAGCCATCTGTGCCGGGGAAATCAAGCTTTGGATCACCGTCGCAAGGCGGAGCGAGAGCACTTTGAAGACCAGCTTTGCAACGGAGTGTATTAAGCTAATAGACCTGTAGTCGGTGATTACGGCGGCGCCATCTTTCTTAGAAAGAAGAACTACAGCAGCTCTGTTGAGCATTTGGAAGTTTCCCCCGGCGAGGTGGTAGAACTGATGAAAAGCCTATCATCTAAGCCTCGGAAGCACATGATATTTCCCCAATAATCGTTACAGCTTCACAATTACTATTTGTATTGATCGGCTGGAGCGTCGTTTTATGTTCGTCAGTTCAAATGCTGATCTCCATATATTTTAAGATCGCTTCTAGGTCTACTAGTCAACATTGTAGTACCCTGGAATGTCTGTAAAATGGCATGCTTAAAATAAAATGATCCCACCAGTGCTGCGTTTGACCAAGTGACCTGCTATGTTTTGTACGGGCTAGCAATATCTGACTTAGTTTTATCTAGGTGGGCTCAGAACTCAAAACTACTAGACGTCTCTTAACTAAAAATATTTTAAGAATATCAGCCTTCTCTTCTCTCCTGCCGTGTGCACACTATAGCTCTAAAGTCTCAACACATCATAGCCCTTAAATCAGTTATATCTGCCGTCGCAATCTAAAATAAATAAATATAAATAGTACTAGAAGGATTTCACTGCATTTTTCAATCTGGTTTTATAGTAGAGGCTTTTTTTTTGCAGGGAATAGTAAAGGCTTCTTTGATTAGTAGGATTTTGAAAACGTAGGAATGAAGGCAAAAATATAGGGTTGAAGTGGCATGCACGCTTGAGTTCTATAGGATTAGCAAGGAGTGTCTGATGTCACATGAAAAAATTATAAAGAAAGATTGGAGTGAATGATAGATTTTGTATGAAACGTAGTAAAAGAAATTCCATCGAAAAAATGCTCACCGGATCCAATCTTAGGGGGTGTTTGTTTCCGGGGACTTTTTTGTGTAAGGCTAGAAAAAGTCCCTCTTAGAGACTTTTTTACCAAACGGGAGGGACTTTTTAAGGACTAAACTAGGTATTTGGGACTAAATGAAGAAGACTCTCAAGTACATTTAATGGCCCGCCACACCATGGTGTTGTTTGATTGTTATTTTTCTATATATACTAGGGGCAATATGGTCATTTAATAACCTATAGGAAGGGACTATGGACTTTTTTGTCTCTGCAAACAAACAAGGAGGGACTTTTTAGGAACTAGAAAAAGTTGTAGGACTTATGAGCCAAACAGGGCCTTATGAATCAGGCTTCATTTGGTTCATAGGATAGGATTATCGTAGGAATAGGAATTTTGTAGGAAATGAGCTGACATGTATCTCAAATCCTATGAGTAGGAATAAGAGATGAGATGTCATTTGGTTGACACCAAAGGAATTTTTTCATTGAGTCTAGGCTCATTTTTATTTTCCTATGAAATGTGGAGGATAGGAACCAATCCTATATAGAAATAGGAATCCATTCCTATGAACCAAAGGGCTCTAAAGGAAAAAAATCCTATAAAAATCCTATCCTCTAGAATTTTTATGAAATTCCAACAAACCAAAGGAGGCCTCAAAGGTTTTTCAAAGCAAAATAGCCCTGACTAGGTGGGAGGGGGAGCACAATCAGCCCATCAATGTGCTGCAGTTCGACTGCCTGGGCCGGATCGGTGGTGACACGAAACTCGCAACAGGCCAGGTCAAAATTCAATGCGGCTCCGTGCGGACGGCCCCTCGCGCTCGTACTACCACCACCGTATCGGTTTGGATGGAATCGTGCGTGCGTGCAGTACCAGGCTACCAGCCCAGCCCGTGCCAATCATAGCCGTCCGTGGTCTCCATCAATGCAAGTACACGGTACAGGCGCAGCGATTTGTCATCCAACTATTATTTGTACGTCATAAACCCGTCGGAAATCGGCCGCGGCTGGTTTTGATCCGCGAAGCAGCCAATGGCACAAGAGAGAGCCATCACCAGTGATCTTCGCAGTTCCACAGTTACTATTTGTATTGATCTGCTCCGTTCGGGTGTCAGTTCAAAACTTCAAATGCTGATCTCTGTGCTATTTAAATCGCTTCTAGGTCTACTTACTAGTCAACATTGCAGTACCCTGGAATGTCTGTAAAATGTGGACATGCTTATAAATTAAAATAATCCCACCGGTGCAGCGTTTGACCAAGTGACCTGCTTATATTTTGTACGCTAGCTAGCAGTATCTGATTTTGTTTTGGTGGGCTCAGAACTCAAAACTAGACGTCTCTCACTACTCTCATTTAGATTAAGTATAAAATAAAAATCTCAGCTCCGTCTGCCCTCTTGTCATGCACACTGACGCTCCAAAGTAGCACATCATAGTCCATCCATTAATTATCTGCCGTCGCCATCTCAAAAACTGAAAATAGTACCAGCAGCAATTTTCAAACTGATTCTCTTTTTTTTTGGGGGGTGCTTGGAGAGCTTTTTTTTTTTGGGTGCTTGGAGAGCTAGATAGGTGCGCCATCCGTTTCAAACTCCGTGACACGAGAATTGACAGCAGGAGAGAATTTTAGCCCCCCACCCCCATAGGTGAGCAGTAAAATGGAAGGTACTTTCCACTTGGGTCACTCGTTGAGCTGTCCGTCCGTATACGAGCAGAGGAGAGCAACCACCTTCTCTTCTCTTCTCTTCACTTTGACCCTACTCATTCATCATCACCACCATCATCACAGCAGATTCACATGGCAACCAGAGGTAGATGCGTACACCGGCTAGCCGGCCATGTATGTGTCATCCTGAAACGTTTGTGCATCATGTGTCTGAAGCAAGTGTGTATCACATACAGACACTCTAAGCTGGTGTCAATGGTGTGTTAAGTAGAGTGTTACCATCTGTGATCTGTCGGTGCCTACGCTAGCTATATACAAGCAAAGTAATTTTCTCCCTTTTTCCATGCTTAGATTCCACTCATCTTCAGCCAGTAGCATGAAACACAAGCTGAAGCAGACAATGACTAGAGCATCTCCAGCCGCGTTCCCGCGGCCTCTTTTTTGTCGCCGGCGCCGAAAATCCGCGCCCCAAAAGCCAATTCTTCGCTGATTCAGGCCGATTTTGGCGCCGGCGGACTCGGGCCAAACCCGGCGCGCTGGAGGGCGCCGGGGGAAATGATTTTGGCGCGAAATGGAGTGGGTCCGCCGAGTCAGCGACTCGCCGCCTTCGTCGTCCTCACCGCCACGGTTCCCGCGGGAATCAATGCCAAGGCTGTCGCGCTGCCGCCTCGGTCAGCCTTTCATTGATGCCTCACGGGCGGCGCAGTGAAGGCGCCGCGACGCCGCGGCGATGAATGGCTTCGGCCGACGCCATTTGCGCGAGGACGAGGTGCGCCTCCTCTACGAGGCCGACTACCCGGCTCGTCCGGACATGCGGGTGCCGGGCTCGTGGAGGCTCGAAGAGATCAAAGCTCAGTGCCACGGACGCGACGAGGGCGTCGTCGTCGTCGTCCTCGACAGCGAGGACGAGGACGCGCCCGGGCCATCTAACCCCCCGCACGTCGACGACCCTGGTTAGGGGTGCAGCAGGGACGACGGCGGCTCCGGCGGGACGCAGGGCGGCGACAATGATGACGACGGCGACGACGACGGCGACTACACCCGGTTCTACAGGCTGCTTGGCATGTAGAAGCCGGACGGCGACAACAGCGTAGTATGGCTAGGCGTACTTGTTTTTAAATCATGTTTTTTGTTTTTTGTACAAATTTGAATGAAATCGCCAAGTTTGTGTCGTGTTTGTGTCGCGTTGTTTCGATTTGGGGATGACCTGGGGGCGACGACTGGGAGCACGTTCACCCCAATGCTGAAATTAACGCCGGCTCGGCCTTAGACGGCGCTTTTTGGCGTCCTGAGGGCCGTACGGCGGGAGATGCTCTTACTCTGGGGTAGTAGCATGGAAATTTTTCGCCTCTCTTGCATCTTAAGCATCGGTTTTCAGCTCCTACTAGAGGCCAAAGTTGCTTATTATAGCAGAGGATACTAATAATAAATTAATTAAAACTGGATTGGACCAGTCCAAAGTAGCATAGTGGGAGCATAGGATGGTGGTGGTGCTAATTAATCAAGATTAGACCAGTCCCAAGCCAGGCCAGACTGGCCAGGGAAGGAAGGGAGCAAGCAAACAAAAGCATTAGCTCAGCAATGGAAAGCTTCTCCTCTGACACAGCTACACATGCACATCACGAACACATCCATCACAACGCTAAACAAAAGCAGCCCTCGACATGTCGCTTCCTCTGAATCCCCTCTGCAGAAAGAGCCAGGCCCCCTTTCTTTCTCCCTCCTCCCCTCCTCCCCACAAAAGCCCTCTCTTTTCACCTCTAGGCCCGCTCCCCTCCCCAATCCCCCAACTCCGATGCTTGGCTCATCCGCTCTAGATCTCCGCACCGTCTCTCCCCCCCTTTGTTTGCTCTAGCATTTTTATTTCAAGGGTGACAAGAGGAGCCGGGCAGAGAGTCTTTGTGCCTTGGCCGGTTCATGAGTAGGGAGGGGAATTCGCATGGAGCGGTCATGTCCTGAGCAGTTGCAGTGGCCATCTCCCTTTGTTCTCTAGCATTTGTCCCTCATGGCTCGCCACCTCTCCAAGATTCGGCGGCTCACGAAGAACTAGATGTAGCCATTAATACAGGAGCGGCCGGTCTCAAGTTTTGGTGTTGCGTTTTTGTCTTGAGGGATTTCTGCATTTATTTTGAGTTTTTCTGTGAGAGAGCGGCATTCATTCAAGATTCAGGAGGAGCGGGCGCGTGTTGTGCTACTCGCTGCCAGGCTCGTGAGGAATCGGGTTTGAATTCCTGTCTCCTTCCTCCTCGCCGGCGCGGAGGCATGAGGAGGGGCGGGTCCTCCTCCTCCGCTGCGGCGAACGGCGGCGGCGGCGGCGGCGGCCTGGCGATCACCGAGCGGCAGAAGCCGGCGCCGTCGCGCGTGGCGGCGCTGTTCCAGATGCTCGCCAAGCGGAAGCTCTTCTCCTCCTCCTCCTCCAAGAAGACCAAGCTGCTCGCCCCAGGTGAGATGAGATTGCGGAAGGAGCAGCTGCATTTGCTAATTGCTATGGCTCTCTGCAAAATCGGTGCTGTTCCTCAGCTTTATTTTGTGTCTTTGCCGTTTCAGTGCGCGAGCAGAGATTCTTATCGCCTGGGAGGCCACCCGCCGCCGCCGGCCGCGCCGGCGAGAAGACGCCGGTGGCCAAGAAGAGGCCTCTCCTGGTACGGTACATCTTTCCTTCACCTTTTACTACTAGCATCTGTGCAGTAAGTTTCGTTCTGAATTCATAGTGATTTTTCCCCAACAAAAATTGCCTCATAAATATCATTTTGCTTTTCCCCAAGCCAAGATTTTACTCCCTTGGTTTTGCATTTTCTTTTCTCTTTCTTTTTTCTCTGTTTAGACAAAGGGAATCCTCCAAATTTTCACCTAAATTGTTTACTTTGCATCCATGATTTATTTCTTGAGAGATTCCCAAAACAAAGTGGTTCTCCCTTTTCATCTGCACCTGGTTGCCCAAGGCTCCCAATGATTTTCCCCCAGATGTGCAGGTTCAGCATCTAGCATTTTGCACACCTTTCCCTTTGCCTCCTTTACAACTTTTCATCATCTCCTTTTCCTATCTGTTTATATGTATGCTAAATTGCTAGCTCACCCGTGCTGCTCTCCTCCAGCTTGATTCGGCAGACTATGCAAGGAGTAAAAGCGAAAGCCATGGCACCAGCCGCTTGCCACCGCCAACCCAAGACAGCAATTCCAGTGAAATGCGCACCCCGGGTGTCGTTGCACGGCTAATGGGCCTCAGCTCAATGCCGGCTATCAGCCATGAAAGGTCAGCCAGAGCCACCGACTCCTCCGAATCCGAGGTCGCCGGTCACCGGAATGACCGTTCTCAAGGTTTGCCTGGTAGCTCAGGGAGCATGGCCACCTCGCATCAGAAGCCAGGGCAGGTCATGGATGGATGGAATGACAATGCCGGCAAGTTCAATGCAGATTCACAGGCATTGTGGTCAGGAAGGCACCACAATCACAAGGTTGCTTCACCTCTGAAGAGCCCAAGGTCAATTTCAAGCAGGAACAAGGCCCGGTTGATCGAAGCAGCAGTCAGGGTTCTCGAACCCGGTCTGCAGTCCAGAAATCGCCACCGACAGCGACATGCACGCTTGGAGTATCCATGTAACGGCGATGGTGTGGCGACTACTTCTGCTCCTGCTGCTGCCATACATAATTCGCCGGATCAATTCTCAAGGGAAATGGGGAATGTTGGTGCATCAATGTCTGGTGCTGGCAACGTAGGAGCTGCCTCTCTGCACAATCCTGCTCCCAGACAGTGGTCTGAAGAGAACTGCAAGAAGGTTGCTGCTGATAGGAAGCCAAACCAGCATGTACCATGGCAAGGGCAACCTGGAGGAAACATTAAGGCTTTGCCTGTAAGCAACTCGAGTGAGAAGGCTAGGTTTAAGGAAAGTGATGCGATGATCCTCAATGCTGCCGCTGATACATATCAAGATGTCCGAAAAGTTCAGCCGAGGAGCGCATCCCGTGGGAATGTTGCTTCTGGCCCTCTCAAGCAGAACAACCTGAAGCAGAACGCATTGCCTACAGCTTCTAGAACAGAAGATCCACATCATATGATTCAGAGGCAGAAGCATAGAAATGGGGAGCAATATGTGGCGAGCACAGGGAAGGATTTTGTTTCTTTGAACAAAAGTGTGAACAGCAGTACATCTTTGAGGTCCAAAGGAAAAGTAATGGATGAAATTCGCCTGCCACGTAGCAATGCGCAGAACAAGAACCTGAGCACAAAAGGCCATCGAACCGGTGGCCTAAGGAGCGATAGCTCTAACAAACCGAAGCCAAGGACTGCATCACCAAAAACTATGGAGAAAGATATGATAATTGCAAAAGGCGCAGGGTTGGTTAGCGAGAAGCCGAAGACTGCCAGCCCAAACTATGTTAGGAATGACTTGCTGAGACCGGTAGAGCCGCGGAATGCTTCCAGGTGTAACGACTCGGACATTGTTTCTTTCACTTTCAGCTCACCGATGAAGGCTACCCCTGCTTCTATGCTCGGCAAAAACACTAGTGCTGTTCTGGGATCTGCAAATGGTCCTAAAAGAAACTCTCATAGGGACTGTCAAAATATTTCTTCAGAAAGGGAATTGGTTTTCAGGGAAAAATTACGAGGCACATCAAGCATGGACGATGCAGAATCAGTCTGGTTTAATCGAGATGAGTTGAAGAACAGAGATATTCCTGGAAGCAGAGTAAGAGTAACCTCTTCATGGTCTGAGGAGGCTAGTGATGTGCCCGTCCTACGAAGATCGTCAAGCGAGGAACTTCTGCGGGAGCTAGACAGTCTGATGCATGTCTTCGGGGAGCTTCCTAATTCCGTCGAGTTGTGTGAAACTCATAAAAAGCTTGAGGTTGGTAAATTTTGCTCTTCCCTGTCCTCCACCATGTATGTTAATATTGCTGAGATTACTATTCCTATATAGATCACCATAACATCAAGCACTCTGTTTATCTGATGACAGCTCCTTGGCCGCTGCCATCTGCAGGCCAACGGGAAAGCTAATGATACATCTCGATCTGTGCCTGGAGGCAACCGACAAGGAGGAAGACTCCGGCCTACATATGCAGATGAGAACTGCACTTCTGGGAACTCAAACTACACTAAAGGTAATCAACACAAGTTATTATTTTGAGCATGTTCTAGTTTCTTTCTACACTTCGTTTGTACAGTTTGGGCCAACTGACAAATTTTTTGGCCAACAAACTGTAAACCTACTATCTTACTCCCTCTGTCAGCATATTTTCGGAAAATGCATAGTTCAAATAGTAGACTGAGTAGCACTATCTTGGCTTGCATGCTGACTCTTTTCATTCATGTTCCCACCCATTGAACAGAGGCTCAACTCGAAGACAGACGCCTGTCAGAGACTTGTGCGCCGCCATCTAGCGCGCGAGACGCGGCCACCGAGAGAAACGCCAGGCGAGCCGAGCCTAACTCTGGCCAGCATGGCGCGTGCCGTCTTGCGCCGGCGGTGCAGGGCAGCAAGTCGGCGCGCCTTGGGCATGCCGAGGTCACATCGACCGTCGATCTGCTGCTAGCAAACGTCTGCTCCTCCGGCCTACACCATTCCAAGGGGACCTTCCTCCTGAGAACATCCGAGTCTGTGCTCGCCACCCTGACCCCGAGAGGCTCCACCACCACCAACAGCAGACCCAAGGCCTCGGGAGCGAGCCCGCTGCGGAGCCTCGCGTCCGACCTGGTCACGGAGTGCCTGGACTCGATGTGCGCCGAGCTCTGCGACTCTGGCTACACGCCGTTCGCGAGGCTCGCCGCGATGGTCCGCTCAGAGCAGCGGCTGGCCGCAGAGGTGCGGAAGGAGGCGGCTAGGCACGGTGACATGGCGGGGCAGGACCTGGGCGACCTCGCCGCCGGCGACGTGGAGCGCGCGGTAGCGGCCGGCGTGGCGCGCGAGGCGTTCCGGATCGGCGCGCTGATCGAGCGGGACCTGGTGCAGGAGCTGGCGCACGAGCTCGGGCTCGACATGCTCAGAGCGGCGGCCGTAAACTTGTAACAGAGAAGGAATGTTCTTTCGTGGTAGTGGTATTGGTACGGGTATAGGAGGAGTTGTGATGAAGAGGTTTCGTTTCGATGTTTGCGGTGACATTTGCAGAGGTGGCCGGCGCTCTGCCACCGCCGGCGACTCTGCCGGCGGCGACGCAGGCGGGTTTAGGAATCCGGACCCTAATACGCTTCCATTAAAGGAAAGGAATCCAGTTCCAGCCCCTCTACCCGTCTTAATCGGAGTCCCCCGAATCCTTTTTTTCTGCTGAAATAAATTGAACCCAGCCCCGTCCGGTGCGTGCATAGCATAGATCCGTCCGCCTCTCCTCGACTCGATTGCCGATCCATCTCCGTCTTTTGCGATGCCGAGGCGTATGATGATGCCGTCGATACTTTCGGTGCTGAGGACCGCCGGCTTCATCGGTGTCGTCACGACCGTGTACGTGGCCACCAAGTATCAGCGGCGCGAGATGGCGGAGGAAGGCCAGAGGCGCCACCTGCAGATGCTGGAGGATAGGAAGAAGGAGCGCCAGATGCAGCAGTTGCAAGCCGCCGCCGCCGAGGACCACGAGACCTAGACATTGTTAATTTCTTTTTTTGTTCTTTCTCAAACGTGTATTCTTAGTTTTCTAGATTGTCCGATCAGCTATGTTTTGTGAATTGTGATACTTATATTTTGTTTTCAGTTTGCCTAATTCACATATAGATGTTTTTTTAAGGATGTTACATCTAAGCTCTCACAAATACACAACAACAAAGAATTAAAGAAAAACTGGGACAAGAAAAAAATATACCACAAACATAGTCCCTTTTGTTTTTTTAAAGGATACTTATATTTTGTTGGACAGAGAAACTTTCACAACAATAAACTAGCGTGATCAGGAGACTGCAATTATCAGGAAACTGTGTGTGTCTAGGGCACATCTAGATATGCTCTAGTTATTGCACATATAAGTGGGTGAATCAAGCATAAAGAAAAAAAGAAAATATCCACACGAATCTCAACGTAAGATCAATGACATAGGACTTAAATATGCAATACTTATGGTACATCTAGATGTGCTTTAGCAAAGCTGTTACTCTAAATTATTGAACAGTATGCATGCAACTTTCATATTTGTAAGAGACATAAATTTAGATGTTTTTTGTTTGGTTTGATCAGAAAAAAAATTGTGTTATCTAGACCTTGTAGCTTGAGTGCAACACTTGATACTCTTAATTAATGACATATTACTTAGATGGGCACAAATGTGCTTTAGCAAAACCCTTTTTTTATATAATAACATAGAAGACTTGATAGACACCCTGACACACCAAAAACCCTCTCCTAGGCTCCCCCTTCTCTGCCTCAACATCTTCTTCGGCCACCGCCTAAACATTGCCGGATATCCACAACCCCCACCCACGCGCCAACCTGCCTTGGAATACGCCGCGCTGTACCACTCCACCGTCGCCCAGGCATTGCCATACATCCGCAGCCCCCACTCACATGCATGCCCGCCTTGGCCTACGTTGTCGTCCACCCCGGATCCGTCCGCATCTACGTACCCTCCGCCCCTTGCTGATGTCGTCCATGGCAGACAACACACCCGGCAGGTGTTCGATCAAATGACATTGAGTTTTTTTCCACCTTCTCGTTGTTTCCTAGAGTTAGCATGATAACAGGGTACTCGGTGATGAACGATGAGTTGTTGTGCGATGCATGCATGAAAGGTCGTATCTACAGACTTTGTACGCATAAACCAAGGGGCATGACCTTTTGCAAATTGTGCATGCTTCATTTCATGAGCAAAAACACTCACGCCCTACGACTTGCACGTGATCCATGAGTGCAATGTGAACTCGCTAGCCCATCGGTGGTACACCATCTCCAACTCCATCATGAAGTATTGCGGTGTGATTGCACAAGTTAAGAGAATGTGGCCGCCGGTCTCGTAAACCACGGAGATCGCAAGTTTTGCTTCTTGTTACTCTTTCAGGTTGGTTATTTCATTTGGTTCACTCAATGTTGAAACTTGATAATCATCACGTTGTATAGCCCAGGCACGCTACCGTGCTGTCCACTGAACTGAGGGCAGGGCATTTACGTTCGAACATTGTTGGATAAAGCTCAAAGGGACACAAGTGCGTGGGACGACACCATTTACGTTCATACTAAAACGTGCCGGCGTTTTGCAGGCTGCCGAGCGGTAGACATACACCATTGGGTTGATACTTTGTTTGGTTGATGAAGAAGTGCCTCTGCAGTGTGGAGCTAGGCAAGAAGAGGCGTTGCTGTTGGTGGTGCGTTGGGGAACTGGCCGCGTGCCGACCCGTGAATTGCTCCCCGGCCGGGGATGGAATAGCGCGCCCAGCGAGGATGTGACACGGTGCCGTGCCCGATGATGGCGTGTGGATCACCGGCTACCGGAGCGCCCGACCCGATGCACACGTTGCATACTATTACTGGTCTGGCACTGGCAGTGCGGAAGGAGTGTGACCTATCGAGATTCCTCCTAGCCGAGGACGCTCCCAAGATACACCGCTCCAGATGCGACCATCGAGAGAAATGCCAGGCGTGCCGTGCCGTGCCTAACTCTGGCGTCTAGCCAGCATGGCGTGCACCGAGCAGCAAGCCGGCGCACCCGGGGCGCGAACCCGTTGCGACTTGCGACGCCTCGCGCTCGACCTGGCCACGGAGTGCATGGACTCGATGTGCGCACAGCTCTATGACTCCGACTACAGGCCGTTCACGAGGCTGGCCGCAGAGGTACGGAAGGACGCGGCGAGGCGCGGCGCCGTGGCGGGGTAGGCCCTGGACGACCTCGCCGCCGGCGACGTGGAGCGCAGCGGTGGCGTTCCGGATCGGCGCGCTGATCAAACGTGACCTGGTCTAGGAGCTGGTGCACGAGGTCGGGCTAGACATGCTCTCCGTAAGCTTGTGACATCAAAGGTTCCTTCGTGGTAGTGGTATACGGTACCAGGAGTTGTGATGAACAGGTATGTTTCAACCTTGTCGGAATCCAGCACCTAATAGCTTTCACAAAAGGAACCCAAGCCAGTTTAAAAAAAGAGCAAAAAAAAGAAAAGGAATCCAAGCCCCTCTCCCCGTCCGAGTCGAGTCGGAATCCCCCAAACCCTTCTGCTTGAAGTAATAAATCGAAGCCACCGTGCATAGAGCCATAGATCTGGCTCTCGCTCTCGCTCTCGCCTCTCGACTATCGATCGATCGACCGATCTCTGGCTTGTTGCGATGGGGAGGCGTGCGATGATGACGTCGATACCTTCGCTGCTGAGGTTGGCATGCTTCTACACTGCCGCGATGACCTTGTATGTGGCAAACAAGATGCGAGAGGAAGAGGAGAGGAGCTGGAGGGAGCGCCAGATGCAGTGGCAAGCCGCCCCCGCCGCCGCCAGGGACCACAAGACCTAGATATTGCTATTATTCTCAAATCGGCATTTTTATTTTTTCTAGATTCTGCAACCAGCTATGTTTTGTGATGATAGTATTATTTTGCTTGGCAACAAAGAAACCCATCTACTACACTTGCGAACTAACTTGTGGTTGGATGGTTAGACGGACAGTGGTATCCGAACCCACCTGTGCTTGTATTTTCCTGCATTTATTTCAGACCTTCCGGCGATGCCCGTTTAGTGGGAGCGGATATTCTTGTCGACTACGAAGACGTATGTAATGACTTCATTAATCTCAAGATGATATGCCGGCTCAGTCTCTTGGAGATGCTCATAAGGCTAGGGTGTCCGTACGTGCGTTCATAAGGATGAGTGTATGTACATACTCCCTACGTCTGGTGAAAAGTGTACATCTAGCTTCAAAATTTGTCCACAAAAGAGTATATTTCTATCTTTCCAATGCACTTTAAAGTAGAAAAAATACTTCTCTCATCACACGGTAATAAAGATCAATAGCAATCTACACATGGTCTTCTAAATTGCTACATGCACTTAGCTCATTGAGGGTTGGATAATTAAAGACGAGAGAGATGGTGGCTTGCACCTTTCCAATGCAATTTTTACTTAACTCTATAATTTGTTCTAAAATTTCTAAATGTACACTCTTTCCCGGACGGAGGGAGTATATATGAGCGTCCGCGTTTGAACTATATTAAAGAAAAAACTACTCACTTATCTCAATAAGGGTGAAAGCCAGTGTGATCAGTTTCAATTGTCGCTCCTTCTTTTATGTCCTCTACTCTCAGCTTTATTTTATTCGAAATTGTTAAACATTATGCCAATGGCTAATCAAGGGGGATGACCCCTCTAAAAGTGCGATCTTCTTTCTTTTACAAAAAGGCTAAAAATCTGACATCAGGTTTTTGGACCTCCGACATGAACGCCTCAACATCCGATGGCAAGCACAAATCTTGAAGCAGGGATGGTGCACTCAAATGGTTCTCCCTTTTTCTTTTGTCTCCAACAACCCACTAGCCCACCCTCTATGCACTCTATCATCCCACCCCACTTCCCCTTTCGTTTTCTCTCCCGTCGCATCCTGCCATCCCCTAGTGATTCCCGCCGTCGGTGAAACCCAGCATGGGTGATGCATGACACAACACTACCTCGTTAGGCGCATGGTGTGAACCGCATCGTGCAAGGAAGACATATGCGAGTGGGCGGCCGCCCAAGATCTGTGTGGGCTAGGCAAGCCAAGAAGGTCAAGGACATCAAGAACCTTTATTTATTAAGATTCCTTATTTTCTTTTCATATGTAGGGTGTCATTTCTGATTATGGTTGCTCATGGAAATTTGAATATAAACCACATCATCTGTATTTTCTTTGAACTCACTTCACCTATTCTTGTTTCTTAATTTAACATGCAATGATATTGCCCAATGGAATGACTTGAGGGTGGAAGAGGTAGCGAGAAGATATCACTCTCCCCGTTTTTTTTTTGCGAAATATCACTTTCCCTCGTTGCAATGTTAACTTTTGGGATTGTAACATTGGTCAACTATTCCGGGCTATTGATCTGTTATTATTCCAGATTTAGTTGTAATTTTGGAGTTAAT